GAGGGGTGAAAGGAGTTTCTGGGAAGTTCTTGCCCAGGATACAGAGGATATGCTCCCAGACTGCATGTTTTGCATACCCTGCCCCTTCCTGCAAAGCACCTCCAATGGGCGTCCTGCCTCTCCTCACTCCTCTTCTCACAGAGTGTTCCAGACATACAGATACCTGTCCAAGGGGACCTCGAGCGCCCTCCCAGAATTTCAAGTGGCTCCCAGTAGACTAACTGGGGAGTGGGATGGGCAACTCTAAGGGCCTGAGCAGCCAGCACAACAGACAGGAGGGCAACCCGAGTCTGCAGTCCTGGAGAATGTTCTGTGAAGAGCAGAGTGCTTCAGTTTGAGCCTGCTCAGCATCCTAACCTCCATTTTCCACACGAAGGACTACCTGCCTTGTCCCCTCTTAACACTCCTTATCAGCTCACCCCAGAGACTGAAGGACTACACTGGGAGTAGGGCACATTCAGAATCAAGGCCAGTTAGTTCATCAGGGAAGGCTGCCTGGAGAAGGGGGATCATAAGCAGGGTGTAGAAGGAGAAACCCAATATGACATGGGGTGGAGGAAGAAAAGAAGAAGAGAACCTCTCTCTGTTTGCTTCTGAAGCAGGATGATCAAACCATAAGGCAGGCAGGAGACAGCTTTTCTGGCCTAGATAAACATTTTAACTGGGGAAGCAGCATGAAGGGGAGTGGAGAGGGGCAGATCTTATGACCAGGCTAGGTGTTCTGCATTTGCTAGGAGAGCTATTGCGACCCTACGGGTGCCCTGTGATGTGTTAGCCAGTGGTGTATGTGCACAATTGTCTGGAGAAGATATACCCAGGTTTGCATGTCTTCTGTGTATGTGTGTTGAGGGGCATGATATACATCCTAGTGGCTTTGTGCCCCAGGCTCTTGTTTCTCCATCTGTGTGAGTGATTGGCATATTACTATGTCTGAACACCCTGTCCTGACTCACCCTGTGAGTCTCCATGTGGTCATGTGTGAATGGTACCTTGATTGCTTTTGTTGTATTTTCATTGGCTGCATGTAGTGGACAGCAGTGTGTGTGCAAGGGTGTGTGTGTGTGCGCACGCATGTGTGCTCCTGTGTGCAAGGGAAGTGGGGGGACCACTGACTGCCCAAGAATTACCATCTCTCTCCCACAACTGGCCCCATCTGTCCCCACTGAGGTCCTGATAAGAAAGCAAACAGCAAAACGGCAAAAGACTATGCCAGAGAGAACAGAAACATTCATTGTAAACCACGTGAAGACTCTTCCTACTGAGGAGTAACTCACATGAAGAGTCATAGGGACAACAAACAGAGTCCTGCAGGCACAGGCTGCTCTTTGGAGCAGGTGCACTTACATGCACACACACTCTCAGCCACCCACAGGCATGCCAGGCACAGAAGGACACACACACACTGGTTCATGATTTCCCTCTCCCCAGCCATCCTCCAAGTCCTGAGGGCCTTTGTTCCATCGCCTTAAAAAGCCTGCCAGCATTTGAGGAGATGGGGCTGGGGTGCTCACTGGGACCTAGTAGCCAATAACCACATAATTGCTCCTTTTGACTTGGAAGGTATGAGTGCATGTATGTGTGCACCCTCCTCCTTCACTCCTTCCCCAGTACTATCACCTTCCCCCATTCTTCCCTTCTCTCCCTCCTCTCAAAAGATGCCTGCTCCCCATCTCTGAACACTGCCTCTAACCCCAGGTTCCTCTATTTACCTCAATCTCACATCTTTCCCACAGGGTCTCTCCCTCACTCCTGTTTTTCATCCTTCACCCTGGACTTTATCTTTCTTCCCCATGCAGGTGCTATTGCTACCTCCCTGGTGGCGTATACTCTGTAGCCTGAATCCTCTCCTTTGTCTCACTGCTTCTCTGTCTACACTGCCCTCGGTCTCCCCTGAAGATCCTCGATCCTCCTTGCCCCCTCCTGCACTCTGCCCACAGCTGGCTTCATGTCCTAGTCTCCTTACTGGCTCTCCATGGAAAGGGCCCTTATCCCACTTGGTTTCAGGTGTGGTCCCTGGGCTTCCCCTCACCCCCTTCTATGGAGGCTCTTATGTCCCAGGCAGAGTTCCATTTTGGCCTGACACTAAACCCTCCTGTTGTGAAGCTGCAGGCATTGCCTTCTGGTTCCCAGTCTCTGCCAGAACACCCCTGGTTGTGGGGGCGGGGGGGCGGGCAGTGGTGAAGCAGGAGGTCTTGGGCTGAATTGGAATCCCAACCCTGTTCCTCCCCATGAAGCATCTTCACCTGGTCTCATCCACCTGTAAAAGGTAGGAAATAGTCGCAGGGGTTGCAGGAAATAATCCCTGGGACTAGTGAGAATTAATGCTGTGGTAAGGATGCAACACTCTCCGCACACTGTATGGACTCAATAAATATTAGCTCTTGTTATTTGCCCTTCCTCAGTCTGCTCCCCTGTCTCCTTAGCCTGAAATCAAAAAATATGTTTGGAAGAGGGAAGAGTGAAAGTAATAGACTGTATAAACCAAAACCAAGTGACTATCAAGAATTTCATATGGTTGAGTCTAACAAGTGCTCTAAGCTCTGAACGTAGGAAATGCCCATGAGTGTGGACAAGAAGGGAGAATGGAGACTGGATTGAACCACAAAACACAGGAAACCATGTGAATCGGGAGCAAATTCAATCCCAGGGAGGATAGAGGCTGCCCAATGTCCAGCCTGCATTCATTCTGCGGTGGCAGGACTGGCCACCCTCTGTCCCTGCAGTCATGGGTCTGTGTCCGCTAGGGCTGCAGAGGGTCTGAGAGTCCAGCTCCTGAAATACTCTCACCTCCAGACAGGACCTGGACTCCTGGACCATCAGATCCATTCCCCCTTTCCCCTCATGCATGTCAAGTGAATACACATGCACACACACATACACTTAAACACACACATACACACACTGATACAGGTACCTTGGAGTTTCTAAAGGAAAGCACTACCCACTAGAGATGGAATCTCTCCAGCTGCCTGCTTCCCTGACACTAAACCTCACAAGGCAGTAACTTTTAGTGTCAGGAAAGCACTAAACCCTTCTGTATCTCTGATTCCAAATATTTTGTGGTCTGAGATTTTCCTGGACTGAATCTGTCATCAGCCCTTCTATCTGGCTGCTTTCTCCATGCTTCACTTCCCCAGTCTCTGAGGGTCTCTTTTCCCATCACTTTTTTTTGTGTGAATTTCACCCTGTGAGCCTTTTAGTTTCTCCACCCACATCTCCTCCATATCTTTTTTTGCTGCCTCCCCACACCCTTGTTCCCTCTCTTGCCTCCCTTCTATCTCTCTTCTTTGCTTCTCTTATCTCTGTATCCTTCAGCCTCTTCCCCTGCCTCTGGTTGACACCCTTGCCTCTTTCCTCTTCCCTCCTCTCACCCCCAAGGTTCAGATAGTTCATGTGAAATCACCTAGTGGGCTCCAACTGCCCCATTCTGCCCCCCCCTTGTACAGGAGAGACTTATGACCCCATTGCTGTGTCCTCTGCATTCCCCCCCAACCCCACCAGCCCTGGGTCAATTATTTTCCTTACCTGGTGATTAGCTGGGGGACTTTGCAATTCCCCCAGCCTCCCACATTCTACCAAGAAGTTAGTGAATGGCACAGGGAGAAAGAGGAAGGATTACTCTCAGGACCAGATGCGAGGATAGATAGACCCTCCCCCTGTATCTGCCCTTTATTCCCTAGGGCAGATGCACATCTGGGAAAATCCAACCTTGAGCAAGGTAAGATAGCCTAGAATGTTGGAACAGATGACCCAGATGCCCCCAAATCAAACGCCCAGAAGCCCCTTCCCCTACCGTTCTGTCATGGCACACATCCTTTAAATTCCTGCCTGTCTCTTTTGCCTCCAGGAATTTTGGCTTTATAATCCTGGCTGGGCCACTCATTCACTACCCAGCATAGTGCCTGGAACAAAGGTTATGCTCAGTTAGTGCCCTTGGTCCATGCCTAATGGAGATGTGCTAAGGCAGAGTCAATGTGATTTGTAGGTTTTCCTCTGTTGGAAATTCTTCCTGATATCTGGAGCAATTCTTTGTTCTTCAATTTCAATGCTTTTAGTACAGTTAATATAGACTATGTCCCTATTAAATCTTGCTGCTACCCTTCTCTCCCCTCCTTCCACCTCCACCCCAGTCTTTAAGTAAACTATTTTAAGGTTTAGAGGAATCTAGCACTATCACAGAGAGCCAGTGGTGCCCCTTTTCCTTGAGACCGTTGGCTTCTTGCCCCATCATTTGTCCATTCAGCCCTCAGTCTCAAAGTAGGCCCCACCTTCTCCATCTCTGAGAGTCTTGCCTCTATTTGAAGATTAACATCCTGGGAAGGATGAGGCACCTTCCTTTGGTCACTATTTCAGGGTCTTGGAAGTCCTATGTTTTGAATGTCTTAAGCAGAAAGTTCTCGAGGCAGAAACTACATCTTTTTTGTTACTTCCTCCAGCACAATGCTCAATGCACATTCAGTTAGAATATACTATGAGTACCTCAGGAAATCCCTCATGGTAAAACTTAACCAGATCCCTTTTGCTTTTTTCCTGGAAGATAAGAAACATGGGTGGAGGACTGGGATGGTTGATGATGGTAGAGAAATCTAGTAGGAGATTCTGGGAGAGGTGTCAGAGGGGGATGCTTTTATCCTTGTTTAAAGGGCTACAGAGTGGACCCTTTAGCTGGATCTGGGACTGGCCTCCAAATTACCACAGGATGTACTCCACTCAGCTCCCAACATTCTCCTTCTTCCAACTAGGATCTCCTCTATACCCAGGACTTTGGGAAGCTTCTTCAGTTCTAATTATTTTTATTTTTTTAATGTTTATTTTTGAGAGAGAGAGAGAGAGAGAGCGAACAGAAGAGGGGCCAGCAGAGATAAAGACACAGAATCAAGCAGGCTGTAGTCTCTGAGCTGTCAGCACAGAGCCCAAAGTGGAGCTCGAACTCACGGGCAGTGAGATTGTGACCTGAGCCGAAGTCAGACGCTTAACTGACTGAGCCATCCAGGCACCCCCAGAAGCTTCTTTACTTCTAAATTCAGACCTTGCTGCCACAAGGTCTCCAACAAAGTCCCATGTAAGCCCTCAGTCTACCTTCTCACAATGAAGGCCCCCACTAGTCTTCTACTGCCCAGCTTCAGCTTTTCTCCAGGATTCCAGCTAAGCCATTTACTTCACCCTTTCCCACCCTTCCCATATACTTGCCTCCCAATAACCCCAACTCATAGAGACCCAGCCTTCCTAGGGCCCCGCCTCCTGAGGGCCCAGCCTCCAGAAGGGCCTGGCTCTTGAGGGCCCCAACTCCCTGATGGCCCAGCTAAGCTCCACTCCAAGTCCTAACTCTGCTTGGCTAACCTCTTTACCTGTCCCTGGGTTTGGCTTGCACATTCTTCTCAGGTCTTTCTCTTCTGAGACAGAAAAAGCCAATTGGTAAGTGATCTCTAGTGTTTGTAGGGTTGGCAAGAAAACAGACTGGGCCAGAGAAAAAGAGGCTGGGCTTGGAATATCCCTGGCTGTGGAAGCCCTGTAGGGTTTGAGCAGAGGATATTTCTAGCACCAGAGAGGGTGCAGACTAGAGGCTTTATGAGTTGAGGAAGGGCAGGTAAGTTTGCTGGGCTCAGAGTGATTTAGAGACCTACACTCTGTTCTCCTCCAGACCAGAAGCTCTCATCTCTGCTGAAGAAAATATAAGTCATGGGAGGGTATTCCTTGGTGTTTCTCCTCCAGCATCCTTCCCACCTCTTTGCCCTTCCCTCCTTCCTGGTTTTCCTTTCTGACATGTAGCAGAGCTTGTTCTCTTCAGCTTTGTCTTGCCCACAGGGCCCAGCACATAGTATGCTTAGACATGTTCTTTCAGTGAATGAATATTCTTCCACTTGGCTCTGCTTCCTCCTTCATGTTTTGCCACACTTTCTTACTTGAGATTCTGAAAGTCTCTGTGTCATGTCTTCTTAGGGAGGACATTGCTGTAGACTTTGCAGAATAGCAGATCTGGTTTGCCAAGGTGGTCTTCCATCATCAGAGAGGATTCAAGAGTCTTCTTCCTCCATGCTGAAGGAGACAGATATCTATTTTTACAGCTGCTGAAGGTACCTCCCTACCATTCTTATCTAATTTAAAAAAATTTGTTCTAGATTGATTATAGGCCAGGTCAGGCTGTAGGAGGAAAGATTCCTAAGTTCCCCTGGGGTGTGTCTGCCTAGTGGTCCTATAACACTGGGTCTCAAAGTGGCAGTTTGCTGTTATCTTAAAACATATTTGCAACACTTTAATTTAAGGCCCTTTGCAACACTTTAATTTAAGGCCTCTTAAATTATTCTCCACTTACCCTCTTCCCCACTGCCATGTACACTGTGGGCTTTACCCCAACACCAGAAGCACAGACAACACTTATCCATGCACAACACTTGATGCATTGATTCCATGTGTCAAATGTTTATTTCTAGGTTGTCTTTCTCTTGCCCTCTAGAAGTTCTTAGGCAACTTATCTCCACTATCAACTGATACATGTTATATGCTTCCAGAAGGCAGATTTATTTTAACCTTAGTTTAAGCAAAATCATGTGGAAAGGCCAATTTATTTCACCAAGTAAATTCCAAATTGATAAAAATGATTTTTTGATTATATTCTTTTGGTTTATCCTCATCCCTTTTTTTATTTTAGTACTGAACAGTGGTAAAGCAGAGTAGTGATTAGAAAAAACAAGGAGAGAAAGATAAAAAGTATCCCTTAAAAAGCAGTGGCAGAGGCTATGTTTTAGATTATGATGCCCAAGCTGCGGTGAGGCAGTTGAGTCTTGGTGGAGAAGTCATACTGATCCATGGATGAGAACTCAGGACTTTGAGGCATGATACAACTTTCATATGACTCAGATGATCTGGTGACCCTCCTACAACAAAACAAAGCAAAACAAATTAACTTTCCAAGGGTCATGGTGAGGGTGTGCCACAGCTACCTAGGGCTATGAGAGGAACCGAGCACAGTCTGGTGAGACAGGAAAGAAAGTAATGGCCAAGTACTTATATGGGAGGACAGAAGGACATATTTAAATATATGAAGGAAGATGACCAGAGGGATAACAGCGTTTCCTAAGCCACTTTGTATGCAGTGTAATACTGAAGGTGTATATTGTGAGGAAGTACAGAAGAAGGAGCAATGGGCTCTGACCACTCACAACTGCTAGTCTGAAAGTGGAGACAAGAGTATAGTTATACATGGGATGACTGGATAAGTTTCTAGATTCTGAACTTACAAGGGAATGAAGGTTTTGGGAGGAAAAACAAAGCTGTTTAGCAAGACTTCTTGGAAAAAAATGAGTGCAGATTAGTGCTCAGCTACATGACAGTTGTGGTTTGGATAATAAGGCAGACAGGCAGATGGATTTCCTTCTACTGCTTTCTCCTGAGGACTTTTAATAGATGTTCTTTGTTGATAAGATTCAGGGTTGAGAAAAGGGAGTAGAAAATTGTAGGGGGGAAGTAGAGAAAAAACTGAGTTGCACTGTTGACATCAATGTATCATATCATTTTCTAATCCCTTAATTGCACATCCTTCCTGGCTTTTCCCAGCTCTCTTTGATTCTTGTTAAAAAATCTGATTTTGATTCTTACTGGTAGCCCATCTAATTTATGAAAACATCTAGAAACAGAAGCTCAGGCTTTTCTAACTTGTCAAGTTGATCACCTTGTTTTGGTGTCATACAAATGTAAATGATTTTCAAAACAGAATTCTGACTGAAACTAAGCCTGTAAATGTGTGAAATCATAAATCAAGAATGTTGCACTTAGCTCTGTCTTCTCTCCAGTTATTCCAGAAGGACTAAGAAAGGGTGCTTGTTCACAGCCATACCAGAAAGATACTAGATAATATGGAGTATACACAGCCTCTTGAAAAGCTCTGGCTATCTGTTTACCTAAATAATGGTGCAATGATAGTATGGTGTCTGCATGTAACAAGGACTATACAGGTATTTTGGGAAGGAAGTGAAAATGTTTTGGTCTACATCTACAGATAAATTAGTCTACATTTGGCTTAATGCATTTGGCCTACATACAGTTGGTCTGGAGTGTGTTAGTCTGCATCAGGGTGGGTTTTCTCTCACTTGGAATTCAGCCTCTGCCATACTGGGATGGGATTTGAGAGGTTTTGTGCTGGGGTGGTAGAGTAGGTAGGAGAGTTGGAAGAGGCGGTTGTGTTTCCTGTAGGTCTAATGAGCATACAATTTGTGGACTACCATATCTTCAAGTTCAAGTCTTGGTTGTACCTAGTGATATTCACTTGCAGAATTAGGGTTTCTAGCCTCATTGAGAGAACATGAAGCACATTCTACCATAAGGAGTTTTTATTTTAGAAAGGGAGACAAAATCTTCCGAGTAACATGCAAATAGAATACAGCACAAAGTAAAATCATAAGTGGGAGGATGCCTAGTAAGTGATCGCTTAGTGAGGTTGTTCTCAGAAGACTCCAGGGAGATAAATTTGGATATTTATTTTCTTTAGTTTGAGCTTGGTTACTTCAGCATTCTTTACAACTTTTCTTTTTTTTTTTTTTTTATTTTTTTTAACGTTTATTTTTGAGACAGAGAGAGACAGAGTATGAATGGGGGAGGGTCAGAGAGAGAGGGAGACACAGAATCTGAAATAGGCTCCAGTCTCTGAGCTGTCAGCACAGAGCCTGAAGCGGGGCTCAAACTCACGGACTGTGAGATCATGACCTGAGGTGAAGTTGGACGCTTAACTGACTGAGCCACCGAGGCGCTCCTCTTTACAACTTTTCAAGGAAGCTATCTGACATTTACTTCTCTTTCCCCAGGGAATAAGTTACACATTTATGACTACTGCAGTGGTTTCTCTCTCCTTTCCTTTTCTGCACAGACCAAGACTGAGAATTATTATTATCTTTAATTTATTATTATTATTATTAATATATGTTAATATCTAGATCTAATATCTGTAGCAAATGTTTACCTGAATCTGTTTAGTTGGCAAACTGGATTTACCGGTTCAAGGTGTGGTGGGGTTTATTTTGTGTTTTTGGTGGGTGGCATGGAAGAAGACCTAAAAGAGTCTCTATTTATTGGATCATGGCCCAACCTGAAGATGTAGCTTGAATTGATGTTGTCCTGGGAAACAGTTACATACAATGCCAAAATAGGGTAATTCCCCCTCTTCCATGTGGCCTTCTCAGGCTGACCCATGGTGCACAGAAGACACTCATAGTCTTGCCAACAAGGAAAATGAGGTCCTTACAACTCTTACCTTTCATCAACTAGGAAGCCATCTGGTATCTTGACATACTCTTGCCTTGACTATTCATTTATAATTTAGGATTACCCTTCCTAGTTCTTAGTTATATATCTTTTACTTATTTTGGCTGGTGGTGAAGTGCTCACGAAATGCTCTTAATTGTAAATTCCCACTGAGGGAAATCCACTATTTGCCACCGTTGTCTTGCACTGTGTGTATACGAGTACATGATGACTTGGGAATAATTGTGGTGGTGTTTATAATTTGGGGGGTAGAAAGATGTTGCTTTTGTTTGATTTCTTTTATACAAACAATCACTATGGTGCTTGAATTTTCTAATTTGGAATTTGTCTTTGTATTCAGATACACTTAGTTGAAATCTGATCTTTAATAGATTGAATCCAGTCTTTCTCACTTAGAAATTTTTTTGTAGTTTCAACTTGAAGGACCACCCAATTTATCACTTTAGATTCAACCCAAAGTACAATGATCCCATAATTGTAGGTATCTACAGACAGTACAGGAAAAATGGTAGCAAATGGAGAAAATTCTTTTCTTTGGGAGCTTATAGTATAAGGGCATTTCATGGATACTTCCCCATCCTCCTGAAACAAATGAAATCCTGTTTTACATACAATCTGATCATTTGACTATTGTACCACTCCCCACTTCTGCAGGTTAGACTCAATGTAGTTATTACAGTTTGAGTATCATGTATGTTGCCTAATGCCAAAGCACTAGGTGACCTATTTTCCAAATAACATAAAGCAGTGGAAGTAACAAAACTCTGTGCTGTGCATGTGTTCATTTGTCAAGGTGATGACACTGGAGAAAAATATAAATGTCACAGATATTGCACTTTATTTCAGCTGACTTGGGTTACTCCCTTTGTACTTTCACTTTGTTGTGGTGAAAGAGACTTGGACCTCAGTTCTCATGTCAGATGTCTGACATCACCAAACTGGACTGTAAATTGTGGGGTACTTTCTTGGCTGTGGAAAATTAACTCTTTGTACCTCAGGCTTCATCTGGGGAAGGAAAGGCATGCTTCAAGCATCATCAGACAGAAGCTCTGCTCCTCAGCAACACCCCCCCCCCCACCTACTACTCCTGACCTCTTCTCTAACTGGGTGTTCCCCTTGTGCAAGGTCTGGGTGGGAGTGTGTGTGTGTGTGTGTGTGTG